AACACACAGGTTAATATGAAGGAAATCTCTAAAAATCAGTGATGGCACAGAGGCTACTACTGTGTTCCTGTTACCTACAGCAAGTTACACCAGCCAGCACAACACAGAAATCAGCTCTAGTCAGTAAACTTAATTATCCATGCTAGAGCCACAGAATGACAGTAGCTTCCCCCACTCCAGCAACCAATCTATGGTCTTCTTCTCTTGAACCACAGGGCCCTGTTCAGCTTCATCCTGCCACCCAGATCATCCAGGTCCAAAGCTCACATGGTGTTGAAGTCTTGTCCCATTATCTCCAATTAGTACTCTGCTGAAGCCACAGCCTGCAGGATGGAGTGACAACAGCCCCCAAACAGCCATAGCATCTACTTTGAAAGTCAAGCAAAAAAGACTCCACCTGCAAATGGGAAAATAGAAGGCTGCCTAATGCTAGCGTCAGACTCTCTAACAAGCAGGTGTTGCTCTATTGCAATTGTCTATGAAAAGAACCCCAGCTACTTAAAGCATGACTACAATGTGGAATAGGATACCTGACATGAGCCTTTCACTGAGCAGCAGCTCAGATTTTAAAGCAACTTTGGAGGCCTTCTGACAAAACCAGTCTCACCTGCTCTTGCCTCACCTTGCATAGGGTGACTGGACAGCATGACACACCACAGGAACCTCCACCTCTCTGTCTCCTGACTCCATCCCAGCCACCAAGGGAGATCATGATAGCTTTTGACTCCAACTCAGGGCTGGTGAGCATGGTTCACTTTGAATCATGTGCATATGGTGGCCTAGTTAGCCCTGCTCTAGCCATGACAGAGAGACTCACAGGGGAACTACACTATGATACCTCCATCTGTACCCCTAAAGGTGACTGGCACTATAATCCCTGCTTCTGCTCACCCTCAGTGTGGGAGACTGGCAGAGTAGAGGCTTGTGATCTCGTCCCTGCTCTGATACCTCAAGAAGGGAATAGCAAGGCAGGTGGCAGATGTGCACTTTCTCTCCACAAGAGCCTCTTCTTGCTAGTCCTCCAGAACCTTTCAAAGCTCCCCAATAGCTCTGGAGCATCCTTTTGGACAGGGGCTGCTAGGCTCACACAGTATCTTTGCCCCATGGCTTTCTATTTGTTGTTATGTTTTCACTCGGTGAAAACCCACATCACCTCATCTTACTTGTCACAGCATTTTGTCCATCTTCTGTGATGGACACAGACCCTGAGTTTCTTATGTCTACACTCATACAGCCCCTTCACAAGGCAGGAATAAAGGAAAACCACAGGTCAAACATAATCCCTCTCAGCCCAAACACCAGAAGAATCATACACAGGACATCAGGACCCCTTGTACATAAGACAGTCTGGAAGAGCATGTGGTGACCCAGACCCAGCCTAGCACAGGGCAAGAGGAAACAGCAGCAGGGCAGTTAGCAGGTGCATATGAAAGCAAGCTTGGAAAGTCCAGTCACATTTGTCCAAACAAAGCACACGTGTCTACTATCAGACAGATGGCAAACCACCTCCACTCCCCCAATCCCAAGTCACTTAATAGCTTACAAGACATGAATAACCTAAAAGCTCTTCAGTCCAGCGCTAAAAGAACATCACATACAAATGAGAGCATTCCACAATGCCTGTGATGACCCAGCTGAGGTCTTACTGTCTTGGAGAGGTGAACCATTCCTGTTGGTCACTCAAAGACAGATATGACTTTCTTAGCCTGGTAGGGACGCTTTCATTTAAATATCATGCAAATGTAAAAGGAAAAAAACAGTTCAACATACTGACTTGTTATCAGCCAAGTGGATGACTGCAGCCTCAAAGCATACTGAAATTCCAGCTCAGATGCCAATTCAGTTACTATTTCGTCCAGCTACAAAACTGTTTCAAACACAAAAACTTCCTTAAAAGGACCCAAACAAGGCATTTTTATATCACTTTCATTCACTCTTTGCAATAAACCCTCAGAAAACTGAATCCAGAACCTCCATTTTTATTTACCATTTCTACACACAGTAGCTCTATTCCTAGAGTATTGCTGTGTGTATTATCAATGGAAGCTACAGTGTGCAGGACAGAGAGGAAAGGGAAGGAGAGGGAAAGCAAAGATTAATCCTCAGCTCATGAACCCCCTTTTTGAAAGGGATTCTAATAAAAATTTTGGATGACCAAAGAATGCACCATCAGTTTCATGAATGACGACACAGATTGCACAACCACACAGAGAGCCAGACTGCACTTCCATTTTTGAGCACAAATTTGGCAGTGTCTACACAGAAATATTTCCCTTATTAAGGTCAACTGGCTGCAAAGCACTTCTTCAGTGCAGTCCTAAAAAGCCCACAGACTTATTTAAGTATTAGGAGCATTGTAACTGCCAGTAATTTCCACTAAAAGAGCTTGGAAAGAAACACAGACATCTCCCTCACTACATATTTTTGTAACATTAGACCCCTCTCTTTCCTACACCTTGTCAAAAATGACACCAACCATGATTCACTTGCATGACAACAAGCTTGGCAGCATGACTTAAACATGCACGCCTCCTGATCAACAAAATCGGGAGGAAAAAGAAGTCTTGAGCTTCACAATTGCCATTTAGGGGCTCTAAACAGTCTTTTATTCATAGAGCAGATACACAGCAAGAAATATTTTAGATTAAATGCAGACATACAGGCCTCCCAAGTCAAATCACAGTTCACATTTTTCACATCAAACCTGGGCTAGATTCAAGCATCATCCATGACAACAAACAGGCTTCTCAATAAATTGATTTAATCACTCTTCAGCATTTCCACAGATCAGCCTTGCCTTTTAAACACGTTTGTACGCTGTTCTCCCAGCTAGAGTCACAGAGTACCCATGTTTAAAAGAATCATTCCCTGCCCCAAAGCAGGGTGACATCTGGGATGCTATCCTGTGCCTTTGATAGCAAGCCCTGAATTCCCTGGAGCACCTCAAAAATGCTGCAACCCCCTTTCCACAGGCAGCATCACCCAGGTGTCATTGGGAGACCTGGCACACAAGCCCCAGCTCCTCCTGTGCTCAGCACACTGCTTACCTGGGCCTTCCCATTCCAGCACACCTGGCCTGGCCCCCAGGTGAGATAAATCCTTTCCCACCTCTAAGGAAACATATGTGGCACAGCCAAGTCCAAAGGAAAAGGCCCTTCAATGCCTCTGTCATGCCTGAACCTGCTCTGACCATCACTGGGGTCAGTAACACCACCAACTGCCTGCAGACAGCCTGGCTCCTCTTCAAATTTCCCTTTTAAAGCATCATCTACTCACAGGGAGAAAAGGGACAGCCACAAAGCATTCACCAGTTAAAAAAACCCAAAAAACCAAAAATAAAGGAGATGCATGACTGGAGACTGGAATTCACAAGCTAAATCTTCAATAGGTGCCCATCACACTGCATGCTCACATGTCTGCTGTCTTGACTAATTTTGGGGTTTTTTTTCAGGGGTTCTGTGGCAGGTTTAGTTTCTTCAGTTTCCAGAGTTTTTTGTTTGAAAAGCAGATCACATTGCCCTATGCACTATGTCAGCAGCAAGATATCACTCAGCATGTCTCACAGCATGGGTTCACCCCCAAGTCCAATGGCTCTTACATAAGTGAGCTGCTGGAGGGAGATACAGCTGATGGAGCCAGGACTCAAGCTGAGGAGCAAATTGCACCTCCTCATTCTAAATATCCACAGAAAAACAAATAAAAACAAAAACAAGAAACAAAACCCCAAAACAACCCCCAAAAACCCACACCTTATTCATCACATTTGCTTATGAACAAATTCAGCACCACTGCTTGCTCTGAGTCAAATCATGCACAACTGCATGTTCCCTGCACAATTTCAGGCTACCTCTTAATAATGTTCCAACACACCTCCAACATGGTTGCTACAATGCAGATTTCTGGAGCATTGCTCACAGTCCAGAGTGTGTTTTGGTTTCATGCAGATTTACACATCAAAGCACCTTTCCCACGGCACCCTGCAAGCTGCAGAGCAAACAAAAGTGGAGCAGGGAGGACACTAGCTAGGAGGCAATACCTGCATACACAAAGTCAAACAGATGCTGCTGGAAAACATCACCCATACAAATCACAACTTTAGAGGTGACACCTTTAACAAGTACAACCAGCAGTCATGTTCCAGAGGAGAGAGGTTATGCTTTTTTCGTTTGAGGAAGGGAGAGAGAGGAAGGAAAATAAAATGTGCTTGAGAACAGCTCCAGAAGGCACAGTCTGGGAATCACTTCTAGGTGAGACACTTAAACAAAAAAGATGGAGTATCCTTCTCTCTTCGGTGAGGAATGCTTCCTGCTAGAGACAGGGCTCAAAGAATGCTCAGAGAAAGCTCTTTTTACACAGGGCTATGGAGACCAGCACACCCATTGTCTAACAGGAGGAGCTTTCCTGCATTCAGAAAGACTGCAGCACAGGCCAGGTTTTGGGGGAGGAGGGTTGAAGGGGGGAATGGGGGATACCTGCAATGTTTTAGGCATCTCTATTTGTGTTTACAAATAGCTCCAAGGAAGTGGGAGCTGCAGGATAAAAGGAACTAGGGGGAAAAAAATAAACCCAATACCACAGTCCCATTCAAAGGAATCAAAACAAGGAGGACAGGTCAGAGACTTCTCAACAATGGCACTGCCAACCCTCAGGGCCAAAACCCAAAAAGCAGAGAGAAAAGGCACAGACAAAGGGGGATGTAACACCCCCCTCCTCTCAGAATACGGTTATTTTAAGCCTGTCTCCTTGGAGCTACCCTAATATTTTCTCTCATGACTCAAACCACCAGGGAAAGGAGTTAGGGCAGAGAAGAAAAGAAAAAAGAAAAAGAAAAAAAAAAACCAAGCAGAGAAGAAAAGAAAAAAGAAAAAAAAAAAAAAACAAACAAAAAAAAAAAAAAAAAAAAAAAAAAACCACCAGAGTCAGGGCTGACCTCATAAAACACCTTTCTAGAAGAGGCAAAGCTCCAAAAGAGATGAAAGGCAAGCTGGGCTGTGCCTTACCTGGAAAAGTGTGTGGGTTGGGTGACCCTCTTTTAAGGCACTTTGAACAGAGGACATGCACAGTGTAGTACAGGCCCGGCCATTCCTGGAGCAGGACATTCAGTTCTTCCACTAAAGGCGTAATAGCTTGCCAAGCTGTCCAGATATTTGGTAGGGACGCATGACTAGCGATAGACAGAGTGTCTGGCTGCAGAGCTCCCCTGGCAGGCCGGTAACTCACCACCACAGGCACCTTTCCCCGGTAGGCATAAATCTGGTATTTGCCATCTGACCGCTGAACCACGTGGCTGTTAATCTGGACACTGTAGCGTGCAAACAAGCCGGGTGGGAAAATGAATGGAAAGCTATATTCAATCTGCAGCTGCTCGACCACAAAGGACTGTCCGCTCAGATTGGTGCCGTTGATCCACGCCTCGGCATGGGGCACCTCGTTTTTCACGTAGCAGGGAAACTTGTACCAAGCAGCCGCCCCATTTAAGGGCTTGCATTTGGGTTTGTTGACACAGTAACATAGCCCCATCTTCTCCAGCAGCTCGAGAATGAGCTGCAGATCCTCCCGACTCTGGACATGGGGCTTAAGAAGGAGACGGATAACATGGGCAGGAAGGAGGCCATGCAGCAAGAAGCCCTCCACATAATGATGGAGCTGAGTGGTCCTCAGTTCGTCAATCTGGGTGTCGCTGAGCAGTTTCTGGAGCAGCACGGTGGCATCCCGCTGGCAAAAGACATTGAGGATGTCTATGAGCCGCGGCAGGTTGTGGAACACATACTCCCGCAAGGTGAGATGCTCCTCAAAGTAGAGCAGCTTTCCACTCTCGTGCAGGTAGGACAGGGCACTCTGCAGCCGATCCTCCGTCAGGCCTGCCTGCAAGCCCAGCCGGGCAGAGTCCCACCAGCTAAGCCACAACTGCTGAGCTTGAGGCTGGAAGTGCAGCTCCTCCAGCACTTGCCAGGACTTGGGCAACACCCGGTGCAGGTTTGGGAAGATATCCCGGTGCTCGGCCACCGAGAGGAGCTTGTCCCGCAGGCGACGCACCTGGCAACGGTCCTGGCAGCTGAAAGGCAGCACTGGAGACAGGATCTGTGGGCGGTGGTTGAGAAGATACTGAAACTGGGCTTTCTTTCGCCGCAAGTTCTTGTCTGAGACCCCGTAAAAGGCAGCATGCGGGCTGGAGCAGCGCAGGTCAAAGTCCTGTCCCAGAGCCTCATCCACCTGCTGGACTAAGCTCTGGAGTCCCTCAGCATCCCTCTTCTCCTGCTGAGCGATCTGGTGATGGATGTCCAGGCACTTCTCTTCCAACTCCCGCTCTGCACAGAGGTCGGCATGGGTTCCCACCATGCACACTACGGCATGGGGCACCTTGGAACTGAGCCAGTGTAAGAAATAGCCCACAGAGGGGTAGAAGTGCTGAGGGACGTAGGCACTCAAATTCACCACCAGCACGTACAAGGCTCCAGGGGAAAGGAAGAAAGACTGGATCACATCATAGCTTGGGTCCCCTGCCAGCTCATACACAATGAATGTCAGGCCCCTCTCTGCATCTGCTGTCCAGTCCATCACCTCGATGCCCTTACTGCCACCTGACAGTCCTAGTCCCAGTGGTACTCGGGGCACATTGGGTGGCAGTGACGGTGCAGGGGATGTCGTGTTCCCTTTTGCTCGGTGAGAGGACACACGAGAAGGGATGTCCTGCCGCTCAACAGGGAGATGTTCCACCTGCTGCATGACAGGTACCCGAGTTGAGGAATTGTCTTGAGGCTCTGGAAAGGGACAACACCCAACCGCCACCCTCCCAATGTCCTGCTGTTGCCCAGGAAACCCTCTGTGCTGGGTGTTCCCTGTCTCCAGGTTTCCCATGTCCTCTCTCTGCTCGTTTTCTTCCATGAGGCACCGCCTCAGCAGGGTCTTTCCTGCATCCTTTAGGCCCACGAGGACTAGTTTGAGGCGGGGTTTGAGGGCAGGCTGGGAGTGGGCCAGCTCCTGCTGGTAAGCTGCGATGTACGGGATGCCTTTCATGCACACCTCATAGGGGGGCTGGATGAGGGGGTTGTCTTTGATCTTCCACAGGGTGACACGGGAAAGCTGCCCGAAGCCCTCAGGCAGGATGGCGATCTGGTTGCCTTGCAGGACCAGCTCCTCTAGGCTGTGGAGGAGCACGATGGAGTCAGGCAGGTAGCGGATGCGGTTGTTGTCCAGCCAGAGAGTGCGGAGCTGGTGGAGCTGACAGAGGTGAGTGGGCAGCACGGTGAGCTGGTTGCGGCTCAGGTAGAGCTCCTCCAGACTGGGCAGTGCCAAGATGGCAGAGGGGAACTCCCCCAGCAGGTTGGATGAGAGGTTCAGCATCTTGAGCCGCTGTAGTCTGCCGAAGCCAGCGGGCAGCGCTTCCAGCCGGTTGCCGTCCAGCATGAGGCTCTCGAGGGCACTCAGCTGGCAGAGCCCCTCGGGAAGGGACGCCAGCCCGGTGCCGCTGAGCCAGAGGATCTTGAGGCGGCGGAGGGCAGCGATGCCCTCGGGGAGGGCCCCGAGGTGGCGGTTGCCGGAACAGTCGAGCTCCTCCAGGGCGGCCAGCTCCAGCAGCGGGGCAGGGAAGGAGGACAGCAGGTTGTGGTCGACGTCGAGGGTGCGGAGGTGCCGCAGACGGCCCAGGCCCTCGGGCAGGCGGCGCAGGCGGTTGAAGCTGAGGTCGAGCTCCTCGAGGCAGCCCAGCTCGGCGAGACGGGGGGGCAGCCCCGGGCCCTCGGCGCCCAGTTCGTTGTGGCTGAGGCTGAGCTTGCGCAGGCCCCGCAGCCCCGCCAGCGCCCCGCCGTCCCCCAGGCCCCGCAGCCGGTTGTGGCTGAGGTCGAGCTCGGCCAGGCGGCCCAGGTGGCGCAGGGCGGCGGCGGGCAGGCGGCCCAGCCGGTTGCGCCGCAGGCTGAGCACCCGCAGCCCGCTCAGGGCGGCACCCACCTCCTCGGGCAGCTCCTCCAGCCCCCGCCCGCTCAGGTTCAGCGCCGCCAGCTCCCCCAGCGCCGCCGCTGCCAGCGATGGGAGGCGAGGAGCGGCGGCACCGGGGGGCGGCGGCGGCCCCCCCGGGGGCCCCGCGTCCGG